TTCGAGCTGTTAAAAGCAGAGGCACGTGCTTGCGGAGGGGGTTGCGCCCCCGCCCCGGGGCCCCCACGGCCATGCCGGCCTCTGGGGATGCCGACCCCTTCCTCCCGCCACCCTCCCTGGTCCAGGCTGCTGCACCCCTGCTTCCTGTGCCTTGTACCCCTTTTTGCACCCGTTGCTCCCCAAATTCCCTGCTGACAGGCCCTCAAAGCCCAAACAAGTCTCAGGCCAAAAATTTTTCTTCTCGCCGGGATACCCTAAGGAAATCACAGCAGGGATGTGGTTGTTAGCCCTGCTGCGGTTTTGCCCATGCTTTCTGTCCTCCGGGGGGGGGAATAGAGCTCACCCCTGCTCCAGCTCCCTTTGGAGGATCAATCAGGGAAAGCGTGTCCACACCCCAAAATGAACCACACTGGAGCGAGACCCTCATGCAGGAGTGCCAGGCTTGTCCTTCGAGGACGGCCTGGCGTGCACCCCGGCAGCGAGCCCCCCCGGGTTCCCCATTGCAGCACGAGTCCCCACTCAGGTCTACGCTCCTCAGAGCTGGGCCATGGACCGGGGGTGCTGTGCCTGTACCGGGGGGACCCCAAAATGCAGCAGCTGCCTCCGCTCCCCGCGGCCTCGCGCCCAAGTGCCAGATGCGGGATACCTCCCTTGCTGGGAGGAAAGGGAAACGCAGCGGCCTTTCCGACTCGGAGGGAAGGACCGCCGTTGTCTAGACGATGTGACTAAGGAGGGAAGGGGCCGACTGTTTGCACAGCTTTGGGGAGTGTAAACAGTGCCGACTGTCCCAAGCCCTTCAAAGCAGAGGAATCCGGAGACGGGATGAAAGCGCAGGGGAATTCTGGCCGGGTGTCCGAACAGAGCAGCTAAGGAGACAGGGACCTCTTCGAGACGAAATCCCTGGCACTGGAGTCATCCCAAACCAGCCCGGGCGCTGGGCGGCAGGCGGGCAGGAGGCGGGCAGCACCGCCGGCCGCGGGCAGGGCTGTGCGTGGGCTCCCAGGACTTTCCCAGCTTTGGTGGCTCCTCTCTGCCATCTCAGAATAAACGTCCTGCGAACAGAATTGGAGGCCCTGGGAATCCCACTCTGCCCCGCTCACAAAAGAAAGAGAAAATGTTGTTTGAGAGGTTTGGTTTCCTTTTTCTTTTCTTTTTTTTTTTTTTTTT